CCCTGGGGGGAGGTGATGCTGCAGAGCGTCCCCCAGGAGTGAGCGCTCGGAGCAGACACTGCTCCCCGTGCGGAGGTGTGACCCTGGGGGCCCCCAGAGCATCTGACTGCGAAGGCGGTGAGGCAGAGACCCACAGATTCCCGCTGACACGGCCGCACAAAACCTCACGCACGCACAGCCGGGCAGGAGCCCGGGCCAGACCTACCTGCTGCCCCCGGAGCGTCTCCTGCAGAGACGGGGCACCTGGGACTCAACCTGGACACACACTGGCCCCGTGAACACGGCCTCTGGGCTGAGATCTGGGCCCGTCAGACCCAGAGCTGGCAGACTCGGTCATAGCCCCAGCCGTCAGCAGACAGGCCACCCTGAGACCCCCTGAGCCCCCCGGTGGACACGGCCCTGCCCACCAGATGGCCAGGACGCAGCGCCGTCCACCCGTGGGGCTGGGCAGGCACTGGGCCTGCCTTCAGGGAGGCTGCTAGGCCAGCCTTGCCCACCAGAGGGAGACACCAGACAGAGACCAGAGTCTAAACTGGACAGCTACATGTAAAAGAAATCAGAACGTTCTCTAACACCATACCCAGAAACACACAAACTCAGACTGGATTAAAGACCTCCAAGTAAGGCTGGGAACTATAAAAGTACTAGAGGGAAACTTAGGCAGAGCTCCCTCTGACATGACAGCAGTATCTTGGATCCATTTCCTAGAGAAACAAACAGGACTTACAAGCTTCTGCACAGAAAAGGAAACCGTAACAGGCGAAGACAGCCCACAGGATGGGAGGAAAGGTTTGCAAACAATATGACTGACACGGGATTAGTCTCCAAAATACACAACAGCTCCTATAGCTCAGTATTGAAACAATAAACTGTCCAATCAAAAAAATGGGCAGGAGGTCTATATAGATATTTCCCCAAAGAAGACATACAGACAGGCAAGAGGCACAGAAAAGCTGCTCAGCATCACTATTAGAGAAATGCAGATCAAAACTGCAGTGAGGTATCACCTTGCACTCGTCAGGATGGCCATCATCAGAAAGTCTAGAAACAGTAAATGCTGGGGAGAGAGTGGAGGAAAGGGAACCCACCTCCACTGTTCATGGAAAGGGAAATTGGTACAGCACTACAGAGAAGAGTATGAAAGTTCCTTAAAAAACCAAAAGTAGCATTACCGTATGACTCAGCAGTCCCACTCCTGGGCATATATCTAGAGAAAACCATAATTTGCACTTGATCTTAGCCAAAAGGCCGAGAAGCGATGAGAAAACCATAATTTGAAACGTGCAACCCAATCTTCATAGCAGTGCTACTCACAACAGCCAAGGCACACAAATGAGCATCAGCAGGAGCGGGTAAAGACCACGCGGTGCACACCTGCTCCACAGGGAAAAACCCCTCAGCCAGCAAGAAAGCATGCCGTTTGCAGCAACATGGATGGACGTAGAGATCGGCTAAATCACACAAAGATCCGTGTCATGTCACTTCCATGTGAAATCTTTAAAAAATGATACAATGGACTGACAAAATACAGACTCACAGATTTAAAAAACATGTTATCAACGGGGAACAAGGGGAGGGATAGATGCAGAGTTTGGAATTAACAGATATACCTGACCACACACATAACAGCCAACCAACAAGGACCTGTGTGGTCCTGCTGGGCCTGGTACTGCTCAGCACTCTAACACCCTAACAGCAAAGGAATCGGAAGACGAAAGGGCGCCTGCAGATGTAACTGAGCCACTCAGACGTTCGCCTGAAACACACAACACTCAGTCAGTCACGTGCTGTCTCACGTCGCCTCAGTCCTGTCTGACTGCGACCCCACGGACCGTGGCCCACCAGACGCCTCTGTCCAGGGGATTCCCCAGGCAAGAATACTGGAGGGGGTAGCCATGCCCTCCTCCAGGGGGTCTTCCCGACCCAGGATCGAACCTGCCTCTCTTAGGTCTCCTGCATTGGCAGCTGGGTTCTTTACCACTAGCGCCACCTGGGAAGCCTAAACACTACCAGTTCAGTTCAGTTGCTCAGTCGTGTCCGACCCTTTGTAACCCCAAGGACTACAGAGTCGGACACAACTGAGCGACTGAACTGATAAGCTTTTTGGCAAAAGCTATGTTCCCATGTAAAATAAAAATTACAAAAAGGAAACCATAGTTCTGCACCCCGCAGACCCTGCCCAACCAGAGCAGACCAGACCCAGACGCCCCCTCCCCCCCGGGACCAGCTGGGCCCCAGCCCTGGGCACTAGCAGCCAGCACGAGCTTCGGGATCCCCAGGCCCCCACCTGACCGTCAGGAGCCGCCCCCCACCAGTGGGCCCCCACTCCAGGACCAGCTCCGCCTGCCTGTAGGGAGCACCACCACCCCAGGCCTGGCTTCCCCGCCAGTGGGTGGGTGAGGCCCAGAGTCTCCTGGGGCCCGACTCTGCCCCCAGTGAGCCGGAACCAGCCGGGGGCCCTAGGATTCTGGAAGCGGCCACCGCGTGACCAGACCCCGCTCGCCAGCAGCATCCACACACGGCAGGGCCGGGTCCCCCACCTGCCCGCCAGGGTCCCCGTCAGCGCCCAGGGAGAGGGGACGCCCAGGACGCTCCCACCTCGCCCAGGTCGAGAAATGGAAAACGAACGGCAACGCGGACAGGAGGAGCCGGCGGAGGAGCACGCCCCAGACAGGAGCAGGACAGACCCCAGAAGCAGACCTGAGTGACGCGGGCCAGGCCGCCCGCCGCAGTTCAGAGCGGTGACTGCAGGGTGACCCAGAACTCGGGGCAGAAAGACGCACAGGGCGGTTGAAAATTTCAGGACAGCAGCAGCAGCGCGTTAAACCTGAGGGCCCTTGGAGGGGTGGCCTTGGGTGGGGGCGCAGGTGTCCGCTGTGAAGTGGGCCTGCACCCATGACCCCAGCGCCGGGTTCCGGCCCAGACTGCGCCTCTCCCCATCCCTTAGCAATACTGGCCCTGGACCCGGGGGCCAGACCATTCTGATGAAGACCCAGTTCCCGCAGCTCGGTTCCAGAGGGCACAGGGCTCTGCGGGGCCCCCGAAGGTGGGCCGTTGACACTCACCCTGGACAGGAGGCGGGCGGGGATGGGCCTCGGGCTGGAGTGAGACTGTCTGCGGAACACGCTTGGGAGCCGACGGGCTTGGGAGCCGACAGGCTTGGGGGGCGGGGTGCAGGCAGGGGTGCAGATTGCTGCCTCAGCTGCAGGGAAGCTGGGGTGGGCAGGGAAGCCCCAGGTTGGGGGACCAGGACACCTTCCTAACCTGTCAGAAGGCAGGGGCCCACAGAGCGTGGTCAGCCAGGAGGCCCCCCGTCTCTGCAGGGCATGCCAGAATCGATCAGACAGACAGACAGACGACAGCGCCAGAAACTGTGGTTTATTAGTGTTAGCTGTGGTGCATGTTGGCCCTGCACTAACTTTACCCAATACATGGGGCCCCGCTGACAGCGGACATGTAGGGAGGTGGCTGAGCCGTGGGGGTGACAGCAAACCAGGAAACTGCGTGGAGAAGTCGCTGTGGTCCCAAGGGCGGGTGTTAGCGGTCAGCGAGGGGGGGACAGGGGCCTGCGGGGGAGATTCGAGCACCAGGGCCAAGGGGACACGGGGGTCAGCACCCCGTCCCCACCAAGAGTGGGCCCAGGGGGCTGGGACCCCCGGTGGCCTCAGGCAGCATCTTCTGGAAAGCCCATCCGCACAGAACCATCTCCCGTGGCCCAGGAGGCCTGCATGACGTGTCCACACAGGCTCGGCTGTGGGTCCAAGCAGCGCGTCCGCCCGCCCCTCCCTGGCCTCAGTGCCCCTCCCGCCCAGGGCCAGGCCCCTGCGGCTTTGCCGCCTGTGTACACCCGGCTCCCCTGCACCGCCGAGGGACGGGAGGGCACGGCCCAGGCTCCGGGTTCAGCATGGTAGGCGACTCCAATGCAGGACTCGCTGGGCGCTGCCAGGACGGGGCCCACACACGACTGCCCACACCCTGACCATGGAGGGCAAGCCCAGCCCACCGCGGTGAGGAAGACAGTCCCGGATCCGAGGAACGGCTTTCAAACATGGGTGATTCTTTTACCAGATCGCTGAAGGAGGCTGAATGTGCATCTCTGAAAGCTTTCAGAGAAAATAAGTCCACGCGGCGAAAGACTCCGGGTCGGACCACGTGCCCGCCCGGCATTCGGCTTGGGAAGTGCCCACCGTGGTGCCATGCTTTCGCACGAGGCGCAGCGGTGGCCGGGTGTGGGCTGGTGCCTGGCGTCTCTGCGGCTCAAGCCCTCAGCCCAGGAAGACAGCGGGCGGAGCCCTCCGGGCATTTTCTATGTGTTTTTCGTCCTCCAGAGGAAAACAGGGCGATGAAGCTGCTCTCCATGGGGACCCAGCCGGTCCCCTCTCTGCAAGCCCACGCAGCTACTTCGCTGGGGGGCATGCTCTGGCTCAGCGTGCGGTGGGGGGCACTGGAATGGAGGCGTTGGGCCGCCCCAGAAGAGCTGGGTGCAGCGGGCAGTGGCTCCCGCCGCTGGAGGACTGGGGTGAACCCCACCCGCCCCATGACCGGGGGCCGCGCCTTCCCTTCCCGGGGCTCAGCGCCCCCACCACGCTCACAGGGACAGCGAAAGCACCCCCTGGGCGGTGGGGTCCCCGAGGAGCAGGGAGGGATGAGGGCGGGGGGAGGGGCGCGGGCGGGGCACCAGTAAATGGCTGCTGCGGGGGGGCCCGCCGTCCTTCTGCTGGGGCCTCGGGCGGGGCACCCCCTGGGATCGGCTCTGGCCACCGGAAGTAGCTCCGCGCCGCGCCGTCAAGACCCCTGCTTCCCGCCCACGGCCTCCGCGTCTGAACAGACGTCCAGCACAGCGGCCCTCGGAGCCTGAGCGGCGGGTGAGCCGTCAGGGAGCAGCGGCCGCCCCACGCGCCCGGGAGGGGCGGGGCAGGGGTCCCCTTCCCACGCCCAGGCCCCCGCCCGTGGGGCTCACAGAGGTGACGCAGGTCAGGGTGGGCCCGCGGGCACGCCAGTCAGCCCTGGGCAGTGGACGCCGCCCCGCGCCCCACGGCCAGAGGGGCACAGGCAGGGCGGTGGGAGGGCGCCCTCCAGTTATTGCTGGGGTGGAGGGGATGGTCCTGGGATCCTGCAGGGTGGGAGAGGCGGGGCAAGGCTCCCTGTGGCCTCAGGCCTTCCAGCATGTTCTCTGGAAAGTGCCGTGACCTCAAGTTTTTGCATAAAGTGTCCACCGTTTAAGGCAGATCCAGCGGTGGACAGCCTGACTTGACGACAAGACTGTCTGAGTCAGTTGTGCTAGGGATTCCTCCAGTCTGTGGGGTGTGTGTATGTGTGTGTGTGTGTGTGTGCGCGCGCGTGCGTGTGTTAGCCACGTCTGAGAAGCCAGCCCCTGCCCTTCCTCTGCCTGCTTCCCGACGTGGGCCCCGCAGCCGGCCAGGGGGCTCAGGGTGGGCACCCCATTCCTGCCACCGCTGTCCTTTGCGAGACCCACGTGTTTATCTCCCGGAAGACGGAGCTGGTCACCTCGGGAAGCTCTTTGTGGAGGATGTGGTAGGCACCTTCGTAAATCTGCAACCGGGAGAGACGGGCAGTCAGGACCACAGCGGGTGACGAGGCCTCCAGAGAGGACCTCTGCTCTGGGCCCAGGCCTGGTCAGCGGGCAGTCTGCAGATGGACGCCCCTCCGTGATCACAGGCCCTTTCCTTAAACACCGTCCCACCCCCCGCCACCCCACCCTGCCTGCGCGCCTCTCCCCGCGGGACCGCAGCCTCCCGACCGCATTCCGCCCGCCCATGTGGTGGTCCTGGCAGCTCACAGCCCCCTGGGCTGCAGGCTGGTGTGGCCGCGGGGTGGGGGGCTCTGGCCTCCCCCCTCCACAGCCCTCCGGAACCCTGTCCAGGCCCCAGGCTGTGGGAACGACCCGAGGGGGACGGCTCAGAATCTACACCTCCAGCCCGACCTCCGTCCGGGCTCTCCATGTGTGTAACCACCTGCCATTCCCGGCAATTTCTAACAGGCATCTCCAGATTTCTTCCGTTGACTGCAGTGAAACCACGTGACAGAAAACTGCCCTCCTTAACCACCGCCGCGCGTACGGCCGGGGGCGCTCGGTGTCTTAGCTCCTTCTGGCAGCTGGAACCCTGGCCCCGCTACACGCCCGCTCCGTGCCCTGCTTCCTGCCCCCTGGCAACAACACGCTACTTTCTTTTTTCTGGCCAAGCTGCACGGCTCACGAGACCTTAGTTCCGCAACAGGGCCCCGGCAGAGAGCGCCCAACCCTGGGGCCGCAGCAAGGTCCCTCCGCTTGCTACTGCGATGACTGTGGCCAGCCCTGCTTGTTCCCTGGGGGGCGGTCGCACACGCCTTGCGCTCTTGTGAGCCGCTCGTTTCACTGAGCACAGCCCTCCTCAAGGTGCGTCCACGCACGCGGCAGCAGGAAGGTATCAGAGCCCCCCGCCCCCGCTTTACGAGGCTGAGTAACGTTCCACTGTCAGGATGGACCCCACTGGGCTCATCCGTCAGCCCTCCAGACACCGGGCCTGCGTCCATCTCGGGGCCGCTGTGAACACGGGGGTGCAGAGCTCTCTGTCCCAGTTTCAGGCGCATCAGAATGGCACTCGCGGTCCCCAGGGCTGCCTCCCGCAGGTACCGTCTCCTTCCAGCCCACCCCTGTCCCAGGGTCATCTGAGTCACCCTCTGCCCACGGGCTGGCCAGGGCTGACCCTTGGAGCGGAGCTGGGGAGGGGACGGGTGGGCAGAGGACTCGGGGCGGAGCCGAGCTGCAGCCCCGGCCCCCGCGGCAGGCGCAGCACCAGGGGGACCGCCTGTGTACCTGTGACCGAGCAGGTGGCCCCAGACTGGGTGTCCACGCGGCCGTGCCCACAGGGAGGCCGTCAGGGATGGGAGCCACGCACGCACGTGTCCTGAGGCTTATCTGCCCCGCCGACCGCCCAGAGCCACCTTCAGGCTCGGCCGCCACTCGGTGTGGACACGGCCCATGGGTCCCCTCTCCCCCATCCCTCCAGCCGGCCAGCTTCCTGGTCTCGAGGGAAGACACTCGGCGGACTTCCCCGCTGGAAACGACACCTTTCCGTCCTGCTGTGCCCAACACACAGACGCTCCCCGGGGAGTGAACGACCAGCTGATGCCTCACTGGCGCCCGGGACGTGCCTCCCAAGGGCCGGCCCCCTGCCCTCCCTGGCCCAGGGCGGCGGCAGCTGCTCACCTTGAGCGTCTTGTCCTGGCTTTTGGCCGACTCCATGAGCAGGTAGGCGCCCCTGCTGTCGCAGAGGCGGTCAGCGGAGCCCTGCAGCAGCAGGAAAGGCAGCGTCAGCTTGGGCAGTGCCCGCTCCACCCGCGACACCGCGTTGAGCAGTTGGACGCCGAAGCAGACTTTGAGCCCTGCCCGGCAGACCAGGGGGTCCGCGTTGTAGATGTCCACCTGCAGGGAGAGGGGCATCTTGTCAGACCCCAGGGAGCCATCCCCCACCCCCTGCACGGCCCCGAGCGCCTCGTATTCCTGCCGGCTGGCCCTGCGCCCTCCTGTCCACGCCCGGGGCCCCCAGACGGGCTCAGCCTGTCTGTGCCCCTTCCCGTAAGCACGTCATAGGCTGGCGTCGATGATTTCATGCGGCAATACCACGGTTGGCGCGGGTCTGCATCTGAGTCTGTCTTCCCTGACACAAGGTTGCCAGAGCAAACGGACCTGCTGAGTCACTGGGGGTTGGTCAGTGCAGGGACGGGGACCCGGGGAGGGATTGGGCTTCATGCAGCGGCCGCCTGGCATCCTGAGCGGCCGGTCCACTGCCCTGTGACCCAAGGCCATAGCCACCCCTCTGCCGGACACGCCAGGCAGCCGGGTCCACCCTCCTGAGCCATCCGCCTTCCAGGACCCCCTCTGACACTGGCTCTGCCTGCAGCTCGGGATCTGAGCCAGCCCTGGGGGGCGCCCCGGCCTGCCCCACCCTTGTCTCTCTGCTCGCCTCAGAGGGGACAGCAAGGGGCCTGCTTGCTGCAGCAGAGACGAGCAGGTGCCCACAGGAATTTCTCGGGTGCCCCCAGCTGCCTGGGCTGCCTGGCGTGGTCACACAGCCGTGTCTGGTCAACAGGAAGCGAGGTGTATCCAGCACCCAGGGCGGGAGCCCACCAGACCGCATCCTGCCTGAGTGGCTTGGTGCCTGCCCACCGACTGGCCGCCAAGCCCCTCGGGGACACAGCTCTGGGTTAATTGCTCTGAGAGCCCAAGTGGCTCCCTGCCCCAGGCCCCTTTCCCATGCCTGGGGCACGGAGGCTCTGTGTACAGGCTGACCGGCCCTGTGTACACACCGACCCGCCCTGTGTACACGCCAACCCACCCTGTGTACACGCCGACCGGCCCTGTGTACACGCCAACCCGCCCTGTGTACACGCCGACCTGCCCTGTGTACACACCGACCCGTCCTGTGTACACGCCGACTGGCCCTGTGTACACACTGACCCGTCCTGTGTACACGCCGACCTGCCCTGTGTACACACTGACCCGTCCTGTGTACACACTGACCCGCCCTGTGTACACGCGACCCGCCCTGTGTACATGCTGACCGGCCCTGTGTACACACTGACCCGTCCTGTGTACACGCCGACCTGCCCTGTGTACACACTGACCCGTCCTGTGTACACACCGACCTGCCCTGTGTACACGCGACCCGCCCTGTGTACATGCCGACCCACCCTGTGTACACGCCGACCGGCCCTGTGTACACGCCGACCGGCCCTGTGTACACACTGACGGGTCGAGACCTGGGTGTCAGGGGAGGGCAGGCCCTGGGGCCAGCCACCACCAGGCAGGTGGAGGGGGCGGCCAGGAGGGCAGGGCAGACCTCCCACCCCCACACAGGGCAACAGGCTCAGAGGACCAACCCCCACCTCAGGTAACCAGCCCGCCCAATCCCGGCAGCCTCTGCTTTCTGAGGTCTTAAGACCTAAACCCACCAAAGGTCCAGTGCCCTGCATCCTAGGCAGGAGGCGGACGGGGACCTCCCCACCAAGGCCAGGCCCGCAGCACCTGAGCAGCTGGCATCCACCCAAAACCCCATAGAGGCCTTCCTGGGCGACCATGTTTCCGTGACCCTCTTCCAGGGACCATCAGAGTGGTCAGGCCTCGAGGGGGCTACAAGGCAGCAACGTGGGGGCTCTGAGGGGTCAGCCGCCCGTGCACACAGGTGCCCTGGCTGCGTAGCCGTGTGGTCCCGTGGGAGGGCACGTGGGGCAGGGGCGCGTGGGGCAGGGGCGCGTGGGGCAGGGGCGCGTGGGGCAGAGGCGCGTGGGGCAGGGGCGCGTGGGGCAGGGGCGCGTGGGCCCTGCCTGACTTCCCAGAGTGAAGGTCGCTCAGTCGTGTCCCTGTCTTTGCAACCCCATGGACCGTACAGTCCATGGAATTCTCCAGGTCAGAACACTGGAGTGGGCAGCCTAGCCCTTCTCCGGCGGATCTTCCTGACCCAGGAATGGAACCAGGATCTCCTGTGTTACAGGCGGATTCTTCACCAGCTGAGCTGTCGGGGAAGCCCCGAGGCCCTGGCTGTTCTGCAGCCGCTGACCTCAGGGACCGGCCTCTCTGGGGCTCAGAGATGTTCCCGCCAGAGTTGCGGGGGTCAGAGGGCAGGGAGCAGGGAACATGGGGGCAGGAGGGGTGATGAGCAGACCTCTGCGCGGGGCACCGGCTGAGCCAGGCTCCCATGGCCGCCCCTGCACAGAGGTCCATGCCAAGAGAGGCTCCCACGGCTCGAGGCTTATTTGTAAGGCACTGGTAGATCTCCGGCTGCTGGAAACAGACAAGTCTTCTGTGGGGATAAGCTGTGCATGCGGGCAGAGCAGGACCGGCCCGCGGGAAGTGACAGCCGGGTCCAGAGGGGAGGCCGGGCCTGTCTGCAGCCCTGGTTATGATGAGTGCATCACCTCAGGGCAGCCAAGCCTCCCAGGACGTGGGCGGGCGGCCCCCTGGCCACGTGGGCAGGAGTCATGAAGACCACGGGAGCGGGGGCCCGACCCTCAACACAGGCACACAGAAACGTCAGGTGGGGTGGCAGTCTGAAGCGGAGCCCCCCGCAGATGTGGGTGGGAGCAGGGCCGGCCCCTCCTCAGCCCCCCGGGTGCCCGAAACTCGCCATACGGCTGGCCAGCGTGCATGTGAACCAGCCAGGAGGCTCTTGGAGGGCATCCCAGTGCAGCGACAGAGAACACAGACTGGGTTCTGGAAGGCAGACCACCTCGGTGCAGGACTGGGCGTGCTCCCGGCGGAAGACCAGAGCGGGGCTGGGGGGCTCCTGCCGTCAGCAGTAGGAGGTCTGTGGGCGCCGGGAGCTCCCCACGGCCCCTCCTGCTCACCTCCCCCGCCGGCAGCCTTGGCCGGATAACTATGTGGAACATCCACGGCTTTTCCGAGTGGGAGGGACTCACGGTGTTCTGAGGAACCCGTCGTCGAGGGTGGAATGCTCCGTGAGTTGGTGGGGCTCGAGATGTGTGGGCAAACACAAAAAGGCTGAAGGGCGGCTTCTCTGTTTCCAGGATTTTAGCGCCAGGAGCTTGGAGGGGAGCGTGGTTTAGTCGCCCAGTCGTGTCTGACTCTGCGACCCCATGGACTGTAGCTCGCCAGGCTCCTCTGTCCGTGGGGTTTCCCAGGCAGGAGTAGAGGGTTGGGTTGCCATCTCCTTCTCCACCAGGGACCTTCCAGACCCAGGGATCGAACCTGCGTCTGCTGTACCAGCAGCTGGATTCTTCACCACGAAGCCCGACATAGGTTCAAGATGCGGAATACATGTGAATCCATGGCTGATTCATGTCAATGTATGGCAAAAACCACTACAATATTGTAATTAGCCTCCAACTAATAAAAATAATTAGAGAAAAAACATAGGTTCAAATCCTTATGGAACAGCTGCGAGTCCCTGGGGAAGGGACTTGCCCTCTCTGGGCCGAAGTTTCACGAGACGAACATTCTGGAGCTGTGGCAAGATGCAGGGTGAGAAAACCCCGTGCAGCGGGCGGTGCTGAGACCACGCTGGGGGTGTGTGTGCGTCTGCGGGTCCCAGGCTGTCAAGTTGGGGCGTCACGCCGCCCGCCCTGGCTGCCGCAGTGAACCCCAGAGACGGGAGCCCGCCAGGGAGCCCGCGTCTGCGCCAGCCTGCAGCCGCTCCCTGCGTCCGGCTTCAGCAAGCCCGACCGGCCGTCAGTGCTCACGGCTGCCGGGCTCCAGGGGAGACGTCCCCATGGAAGGCGAGCCTTAGGAGCCGACTCTGGGTCCTCGAGCTGTCTGCTTCGCCCGTTTCCCCTTGCCCGCCCCTCGGCGCTGCTATTTTTAAAGCTCGGCAGAATGTGGAAAGGGCAGCTCCCAGCGCCCGCCAGCAGGGGCTAATCCTCTCTGCTCCCTGCTTAATCCAACCGGAGCCCAGGCTCCGAGTCTGCCCAGCGGGGATACTGAGCAGTGTTTCTGGAGAGCCCCCCATGGACACGTGACACTGTGTGACCGTGGATGGGGGACGCAGCAATGGGCCGCGAAGGGAAGCCTGACCTCGAGGCATTCACCCAGACGCTTCCATTTGGTGTAGGGCCTTCGGGGACATGTTTGTGATTTCACAAAGGAGACAGAAGCTCTGAAATCTCCTTTCAAACTAAGAGTGTTTGGAATCATCTCGTGATCTTTCTCCTCCTCCTTTGGTCACGTACTCACAGGTGGTGAGATAACTGGATGTTTCCACTCTAAGCTCTCAAAGGGATGCAGTCCCCCCGCCTCCCCGAGCCCACGCTGTCTCAGCACAGCTGCGGCAGTTACTGCTCTTCACTCGCTCAGTCGTGTCCGACTGCAACCCCAAGGACTGCGGCACACCAGGCCTCCCTGTCCACGAACAACTCCCAGAGCTGGCTCAAACTCATGTCCATTGAATCGATGATGCCATCCAACCATCTCATCCTCTGTCGTCCCCTTCTCCTCCTGCCCTCAATCGTTCACAGCATCAGGGTCTTTTCCAATGAGTCAGCTCTTCACATCAGGTGGCCAAAGTATTAGAGCTTCAGCTTCAGCATCAGTCCATCCAATGAATATTCAGGGTTGATTTCCTTTAGGAGGGACTGGTTGGATCTCCTTGCAGTCCATGGGACTCTCAAGAGTCTTCTCCAACACCACAGGTCAAAAGCATCAATTCTTCAGTGCTCAGCTTTCTTTACAGTCCAACTCTCACATCCATACATGACCACTGGAAAAACCAGAGCTTTGACTAGACAGACCTTGGTTGGTAAAGCAATGTCTCTGCTTTTTAATATGCTGTCTAGGTTGGTCATAGCTTTTCTTCCAAGAAGCAAGTGTTTTTTAATTTCATGGCTGCGGTCACCGTCCACAGTGATTTTGGAGCCCAAGAAAATAAAGTCTGTCACTGTTTCCGTTGTTTCCTCATCTATTTGCCATGAAGTGATGGAACCGGATGCCATGATCTTCATTTTTTGAATGTTGAGTTTTAAGCCAGATTTTTCACTTTCCTCTTTCACTTTCATCAAGAGGCTCTTTAATTCCTCTTCGCTTTCTGCCAAAAGGGTGGTGTCATCTGCATATTTGAGGTTATTGGTATTTCTCCCAGTAATTCCAGCTTGTGCTTCATCCAGCCCAGCATTTCACATGATGTACTCTGCATAGAAGTTAAATAATCAGGGTGACACTACCTAGCCTTATGCACTCCTTTATCAATTTTCAACCAGTCTGCTGTCCCATGTCCAGTTCTAACTGTTGCTTCTTGATCGGCACACTGGCTTCTTGGGAGGCAGGTAAGGTGGTCTGCAATTCCCATCTCTTGAAGGATTATCCACAGTTAATTGTGATCGATACAGTCCAAGGCTTTAGTATAGTCAATGAAGCAAAAGTGGATGTTTTTCTGGAATTCTCTCTGTGCGTACCAGAACCCAGGAGGAAGGAGCAGTGACCCCAGAAGACAGGGAGCCAGACTTGCCTGTGGGGCTCTCTGGCAGAGGCGCGGGTCGGCGGGGTCAGGGTCGCTGGCAGCAGTAGTCCTGGAGGAGTGGTGTGTTCACAGAAGTCCTCCTGGAGGAGGTCAGGGTCTGTGGACTCCAGGACTGGGCCGCCTTGGGCCAAATGACAGGGTGGGAGCACAGCCCCACCTGTCAGCGGACAGCTGGGTTAAAGATTTATTGAGCAAGGGCCACTCAGAGCAAGAGCCAGAATCCCCCACAGCCAGTCCCTCCCGTGGGGAAGCCAGCACAAGCCTCATCCTTCTCCATCAGAGGGCAGACAACGAAAACCACAGTCACAGAAAACTAACCAAACTGATCACGTGGACCACAGCCTTGTCTAACTCAATGAAACTATGAGCCATGCCGTGTAGGGCACCCAAGACGGACGGGTCATGGTGGAGAGTTCTGACAAAACGTCCACTGGAGAAGGGAATGGCAAGCCACTTCAGCGTTCTTGCCTTGAGAAGGCCATGAACAGCATGGAAAGGCTGCTGCGGAAATCAGAGGTTTTACTGGAAACTGCACATTTGAAACCGAGTCATCCTTTGGCTGCGGCAGTTGGAGGCTCTGCCCACAGGCCTCACCTCGCAATGATCCTGCACACAGAGCCATGGTCCCCAGCACCCCCGCCCGCCACGCGGGCCGCGTGGACCAGGAAGTACCCGTCAGGAGCCCCACGCTCGTCAATCCCAGCTGGAAGGACGCGCCAAGCATGGACTTTGGAATCTGCCCCAACTGGCTTGCAACCCTGGACAGGCTATTTACCCTCCGAGCCTCAGTTTCCTCATCTGTGAAATGGGGTTCATGTCGGCCCCGCTCCTGCCAGGACTGGCTCTAATGCTGTGGTTCTCACCACACAGGTCTGCCTCTTGGAATGAATATCTTTCTTTACTCAAATATTCTCAACCCTGATGGGTCAAATGTGGCTCCAAGGTGGGGGTTTGGGAGGCACTGCTTTTAAAATTAAATTCTACTTCAAACGGGGTGTGGACGGCTGGGCGGACCGCCTCCCTCCCGAGTCCCACACAAGGCAGACCCAGCAACAGTGGTTCTCAAGGCCGGGGAGCTGGAGCCGTGGCCTGAACACCCCTGCCTGCACGTCTGGGGTGACTCCCATCCAGCTGAGTAGCTCAGAGGGCCAGGAGGCCAAATTCTGTCATGAAGCCAGACCCCAAGGAAGCCAGGGCTGTCCAGCAGCCAAGGACGCCCCGGCTCCAAGTCCTGACAAAAGATGGGAAACTGAGGCAGGAGACGATCTGGCGTTACACTCCCGGTGTCCAGGGCGCCGCCTGTTCGCCAGCCGTGAGCCTGTGGGGTCCTACCCCCCAGAGGGAGCTCTCAGGCAGGCGACCCCAGGCAGGCCCCGGCACCTGGGGAGCCTCTGTCTGCCCTTGCAACACAGGCTGCTGTGTGGGTGAGGACGAGCCAGCCGCCTGGCCCGGAGCACAAGGGCCCGTCCTCGCAGGCTGGGGACGAGGTGCTGGCCCTTCACCGGAGGGGCGGGGGCGCGGTGCCCTGACCAGCACCGTCACGGACCACCCTGGCTTCCACAGGGACCTATGGACCTGGGTGCTGGCCTGCCTGTGGACCCGGGCTCCAGCCTGCCTGTGGACCCGGGCGCCGGCCTGGCTGGAACCCCCTGGTGCACCCTCCAGCCTGGCCGCACACCCCCTCCCGCCCCACAGCGAGCAGTCCTCCTCCGCTCTCGGGCCATGAGGGGGCAGGGTGATGCCACCCCCATCCGGGACAAATAATCAACTGTCCAGGGGTAAGAACCAGCCCCGGGAGGTGGCACAACTTCTGAAAGAGCGACATAGCCCAAGGACACAACAGAAAACGATCAGAATCGAATGGAAGCAAGACGGCAGACAAGCCTCGACCTCAGTCCTCAGCCAACAAGGGAAACGACACATCCAGAGGCGCCATGACAGGTGCAGTGGTGACAGGCCAATGCGGGGGCGAAATCCCCGCCCCTTCCCAAAACAGCTGGAATAAGCCTCCCGCTCATCAGCACATGGAACGACCCAGCCTATAGATCTAACCACACCACGTTTCCAGGCCCCACTCGCCCTCTGCGAGGCCCACACTCTGTCTGTGCAGCGTGCTTCATGAGGTCCTGACACCAGGCACCGTGGGTTTTGGCTGGGTTCGAGTCCCAGCCACGTGGGTCCGAGCCCGTCAGGTGCACGGGTCCAGGGCCGCTGTTGGAGGGACGCGCTGCCTCTCCACTGGCTGCTCACGTAAAGCTGCTGGAAGCCAGCTTCGCCTCCACTCGGGAAAGTCTGGGTGGGAATAATGCCAAACCAGGGGACACACGAGGTGGGGGCAGAGAGAGACGGTGGCGACTAAGACGCTGAGCCCCTGGATCGAGCCATGGCTGCACGTCTGTTACATTCACCAACAAAGCCCTCTGACTGCTGAAGTCATTCTGAACTGGTTGCAGTCACTCACAAGCCAATGACACCCGGCTGGCTCACACATGCAGCTCCCCCCAGTCAGGTGCTCCCACACATAGGCACAGCTCGGAGAACCACCGCCCGCCCCTCCCACCAGACCCCGAAGCCAGACGGCGCCTCACACCCCTCCACGTCCCCGCCACCGGGCAGAGCCTCGGTGGAACGGCGGCAGACAGCCGTAGCGAGGCCAACATGAGACTCCCCCAGGCCTGGGCCATGGCCCGCTCCCCCCACCAGCCCCAGCCGCCCCCGGTTCCTCAGAAAGACTCACCTCCGTCTTATTCCTTGAGAGCACGCTGGAGTCGATCCGGCCCAGGGACATGTTCGGCAGGACAAGGTTGAGAACTTTAGCAGCGAAGACCTGGACACGAGGCAAGGCTGCAGTTAGTGCCGTGGGACCCTCGCCCGGCCACCCCGCGGGCTGCCTACCGTCCACTAAGGAGAAGGACGTTTCGTCGACGGGCGTCAGCCGGGCCCGATCCCGGGCCGGGCACCCAAGGGCCCCTGCTTGCCCCGCCCACACGGCCTCCTGGGTCTGGCTTCGGGCTGGGTGGGGGCGGCCGGGCGGGGACAGCAGGGGCCATCTGCCTCCTTGCTGCTCCCGATGTGTGCGGCCACCTCCCCGGACGACACCGGGTGGTAATCTCGAATTCCCTGCAGGAGCAGAAGCACCCAAGCACCCGAGCTGAGGCAGGACGAACCCTGATCAGAAGGCACCGCTGATTGTCTCGGGGCAGGAACCACCACCAGGCCGAGCAGACGCGGGGCGGGGAGGGCTGCACACTGCCGGCCTGTCCCTCAGCTGCACACAGGGTCGCCGTGTGCCAAGGCGCCTCCACACAGCAGGCGCTCAATGCAGGCTGCCCCAACGTGATCCGGACTGAGGCCCAGGCCACCCCCGCGCCCACCCCCCCAGAGCTGCTGCTTATCCAGGAGACGTCTCAACCGGCTCGCGTGCGTCTGCTGGGGGGGCGGGGGCCGTTTCCGTTTCTGCAGACGCCCAGGGAGAGACGCTATTTCCAAGGCGAGCTGTGAAATGCTGAGATTAGACTCGCTCGGAAAGCAGGGGGCGGCGAGTCCCAGGCCTGTGTGGCCGTCACAGGGCCGACGGGGGTGCCCCTTGGGACCCTGTGGTCGCGGGGTGTCGGCACGGTCCCGGGGGGCTCTCCGTCTTCTGATCTCGACACAAACGCCCTGAGGGGAGGGCTGACCCGCATTTAAGAGACGACACAGGCTCAGCGCCACTGCCCGCAGCCGGCTGGACGGGGTGGACAGAGGCCTGGGTGCGGCCGCCCCCGGTTCCCGGTGACCGAGAGGCCTGAGCTCACCTGCCGTCCCCCCAGCACTGCTCCCTGAAAGCTCTCCTTCCCTGACCGTCAGGAGCCTCAAGACCTTGCGCACAGCTGGGCCCCAGATGGCCAGGGACCCACAGGGGCGACCTCTGACCTCACAGCACCCCAGGCTCGGGCCCAGGCCTCACGCATGTGGACCGGCAGCCTCAAGTGCCCGGCGTTTGCCCACCCGGCCCCGAACACCCACGATCTAGCCTGGAGCCCCGCATCAGGCCTCCAGCCACCCGCACCCATTGAAGCGTCATGGGTTGAATAGGACCCGTACAGCAGGGTCAGGGGTCAAGCTGGGGGTGGGCCGGCCCCAGGGACGAGTACAAGCCGCGGAGGGCTCAAATTCCAGGAGGGAAGGGACTGGCTGCTTCTGAGCAGACAGGATGGCCTGTGGGTTCCTGGATTCGGGGCTCCTCTGCGGGCCTGACCCCAGGAGCTGAGATCTGTGCTTCCACAGGCCAGAGTGTGTGAACGAGGCAGAAACACGGAGGTAAAGTGCCCCACGCGCAGAGAGAGGGGGCACCCCGGGCACCCCACCTTCACCAGGGGGGTGGGCTTTTGGGGCACGCCCCCGCCAGCGGTGGCCCAAGGGCGTCATGCGGGAAGGATAACGCGAGGCCGTGTCTGCTGAGCTGCTCCGAGGCTCCCTGCTCTTCCTGACGACCCGCCACAGCCCCCCAGGACGCGGGGGCTGCGGGCCGACTCTGCGCGTGTCCCCGTCACACCTGGGCCCCCGGGAGCTGCGTGCGATGGGACCAGGCCAGCTGCCCCACCCCGGCACGTCTCACTGCCTCGTCCAGCACGGCCTTTTCAGTTCAGCGGCCCCTTCACTCTCCCTCCCGGGACACCCGGCCGAGTCTGGGCGAGGACTGCGGCCTGGAGCGCCTGGTCCCCCCAGGAGCCCCGAGGTCTCCCCCCAAGCTCTGTTCCCCCACCGGCTGCTGCACCGGCAGCCCCCCCATCGGGCCCCTCCCTTCCTGACAGCCAGCAGCACGGCTCCATGTGGGGCCGTGCCCCAACCCCCACGGGCAGGACGCTGCCCTTCCCAGGGAGCCCAGGGTGAGAGAGGCGGGCGCCACCCAGACCGAGCTCTTCTAAACCAGCGGAGTGTGTTCCGGCCATGCTTCTAACAAGACTCAATTGGGCAGAGATGAAATTCTGATGGCAGTAAGGTCACAGCTAAAAACACCTGGGTGCCTCTTGGCCTGCTCCCCACAAAACCAGAGAAGGGGAAACGCCATCTCAGGGGGGAGAAGCTCAGAACTGCCACCCAGCACACGCTTTTTAAGGGTTGGCTTGTTTCTTTAGCCTTTTCATTAGGAAGAAACAGAGAGAGTGGCTGACTTGTGATCAAGGAAGCTGGGGTTGAGGAGGGCCCCTGAGGTCCAAGGCAAGGAGGGAGGCGGGGGGCTGGAGAGAGCCCGCAGACCCCAGGCGGGGAGGATCAGTTTGTCCAGGTCACTGCTGATTGCCGCTGCCCTCCGCCCCAGCACCGTCCACCAAGAGAGCCCACGGCCACCGCGAGGAGGGGTGGGGCAGCGGCTCACCCACAGAGAAGCTGGAATCCGGGACACAATGTTTCTTACTGTCAACTGCAACACTTCTTCCAAGCTTTTTGGAGGCTCCTGCGGGCGCGTGGAGAGAGCCCCGGATCCCGCTCAGGACGGGGTGACCTGGCCACGGCCCCGGGAGGAGACCCCCACCCTCGTCGTGAGGCCAGCGGGCTGAGGCAGGTCCACGCAGCTGCAGAGCCCCCTCCGGGCACCCCAGCGCTCACGGCCCAAGGACAGTCTGGGAGCTGAGACCCCAGCCCTGGGGGAGGAGGCGCTGGAGGCTCGAAGCTGCGCAGGCTTGCATCTGACCTCTGGTTCGGAACCCAGAGAGTCTGTGGTCCTCAGTTTCTGTTTGGAAGGAAAGTTATGACCAACCTAGACAGCATATTAGAAACCAGACATCACTTTGCCGAAAAGGTCTGTCTAGTCAAAACTTTTCCAGTCATGTACGGATGTGAGAGTTGGACCATAAAGAAAGCTGAACCCCAAAGAACTGATGCTTTTGAACTGTGGTGTTGGAGAAGACTCCTGAGAGTCTCTTGGACCGCAAGGAGATCCAACCAGTCCATCCTAAAGGAAATCAGTCCTGATTATTCACTGGAAGGACTGATGCTGAAGCTGAAACTCCAATACTTTGGCCACCTGATGGGAAGAACTGACTCACTGGGAAAGACCCTGATGCTGGGAAAGATTGAAGGCAGAGGAGAAGGGGACGACAGAGGATGAGATGGTGGATGGCATCACTGACTAGATGGACATGAGTTTGAGCAAGCTCTGGGAGTTGGTGATGGACAGGGAGGCCTGGTGTGCTGCGGTCCATGGGGTCGCAGAGGCGGACACGACTGAGCGACTGAATAACAACAAAAAAGTGTGGACAACACAGTGAAGCTTGAAGGGCTGTCAGGAGGCGTCCTGACACCTGAATCCTCCAGGGAGCACCCTAACGGCCCCCAGAGGGGCCCCTTGTGCGCCCGGGGGGATGAGCAAACCCCGTGTCACTGAGTGGGGACTCCAGGAAGGAGGGGGAACCCCAACAATCTCAGCCTCGAAGAGGACCAGGTCCACGCCCACGAGCACGTGAGGGAGCGAGTGTCCCTGGCCCATGCCTGGGGCGCCTCTGGGTTAACGGCAGGACCTCCCCTTTGAGAGCCGGGGGCCTGCACAGCGCCATTATTGATTCCCAAGGTTTTAACGGCTCCGGGAGACCACTCTGAAGCCTCTGCAGCTGAAAGGCTTAACACGAGGAAGGTGATACACAACTGCTCGCTTCCACAGCACTGCAGCGGGGTGGCCTGGGCGCAGGACGGCATGGCTGGGACAGAGCCCGGAGGGTTCCTGGGGGCGGCGGGCAGTGAGCGACCCCAGGCAGACAGCAGGAAGCCTGTGTGCCTTAGAGCGGGACCGAGGCCTCCGGTGCACGCTGCGGCCGCGTTCGGGGGGCCAGGTCACGAGCCAGCCACGCCCCGGCCTCCAGTCTAACTGTATCTGAGCTTGCTGACCGGCCCTCCCGGGGCCCCTCCCGTGTTCTTCCCAGCCCCCTGCTCCAGGGCCTTCCGGACTCCGGGACTAAACGCAGGAGAGCAGCACCCAGACGGGAAGCTGATCCCGGTGGTTTCAGGGGGAAAGGACGTCCTGCCACGCCCACTGGCCGAGCCACAGCGCGCACTGACCTTGAGGGAGACCGTGGCCTCGTCTCCCGTCCGTGACCCACGCACAGGGCGGTGACGGAGGGGAAGTCACCCAGGCGTGTCTGGCCCTGGTGCCTCCAGGGGGACGTCTAGGAGCACGGGGCCGCTCCTGCGTCTCCACCCAGGATCCGGGGGGCAGCCTCCGGCCAAGGGCAGACACGCCACCTGGAGGACCACCCTAGCCCCCACTCGGGGCAGACGTCCAGGGTGACGCCGGGCTTTCCCTGAGAAAGAACGGGCCGGCCCACAGCTCCCCCCACGTGTCACCCCGGGGGTCAGGGTGCCGCACCAACGGGGGGCGCGGGGACCCCGTGTCCCTGCGGCGGCTGCGCTGACCCTGACACCTGTCCTGGGGTCCAGGCTTGGTGTCCAAACTCCCGCTTCCACCGGGATCTGAGCGCTGACGGGGTTCTCCCCGAATCATCCCCCGGCTGCACATACCCCAGCCGGCTGGAAGTGGGGCGGGAACCAGCTATGCCAGGGCTGCGGGCGGGGGGCAGCCACCCTCCACGTGCCCGCCTGCGCTCCGAGGCCCCAGGGCAGCGGGCCACTTTGTGAAGTCTCTCCATCGGGACAACGAAACAGCAAAGAAGTCAGTGGCTCCATCGCGCCTGACTCTGTGTCCCCGTGGACTGTGGCCCCAGGTGCCTCTGTCCAGGGGATTCCCCAGGCAAGAATACCCGAGTGGGCGGCTGTGCCCTTCTCCAGGGGAACTTCCCGAGCCAGGGACTGAAGCCGCGTCCCCTGCGCGGCAGGCGGGTTCTTTACCGTCTGAGTCGCCGGGGAAACCCGTGGGGAACCGGCCGCCATGAACACACCACTGACCTGCCCAGGAGCCGCGCTCTGGGACAGGAATCACGGACCAGAACCCAGGTCTGCACGCTGCACCCGGCAGCCTCAAGGCCCAGGGAAGGCCCCCCGCCCCGTCCACCTCGGCCAGAATCTCTGGGGGGGGTCCTGAAGATCGAGCCACTGGAAACCCAAGGACCAGCCAGGTTTCACCTGACCACAGTGAGCCACGCGCACCCCGCCCCCACCCCACCCCTGCAGGACGCTCTGTGTCCAGGCGTCACCCAGAGCCCCCCAAGTCTGAGGCTTCCTTCCGAAGCTGCCCAGACGAGACAAGGCCAGAGAGTGGCCCTGGGCTCCCGCGCGGCGGACGCGACGCCGACTCTGTGTTCAGGACTGCCCGAGCCCCCAGGGCAGTGACAGGCCTCCCAGACGGGAGGGGGCGCCCCGGGCCCGGGGGCCGCGGGGGCTCTAGTGAATCCTGCCTAACAGCCGGGACCCGCGTTCCCCTGCCCACGAGGACATCTGTCACCACCGGCTGGGAGAGGTCACGCCGCAGGCCTTGCCCGAGACTGGAGGGGGCACCGGGTGGCCTCCTGCTCAGGGCCCGGCTGCCCCCCACCCCCCGCCTCTGCGCCCTTCATCTGAAACCCCCAGGGTCCTGGGCTCTTCTTGGGGCCTTGGCGGCGGGCACGTCACTGCAGAAATCATGCACCATCCCGTCTGGGGAGACGCCCTTGTAGGGGCGTGGACAGCCCTGGGGGGCAGGGGGTGGACCTGGGCAGCCGAGGGTCCTGTCCAAGCCCCGGGGTCCCGCGCGTAACTGCAGCCAGCAACATCCCCGTCCCTGGGGCGAGGGCAGGAGCTGAGGGCACGATTCACACATGCGCCTGGCACACACCACCCAAACAAGTCACGACTGGAGCCCGCGGAGTGCCGTGGGAGCTCCGCCCGGAACCCCGTTCCTGCTCACTCTCTTCTCTGAGCAGGGCCCTCGGACGGTCCAGCCGCACGTTACATGATCACGACCAGGAGGGGAGGGGGCCGGGAGACCGACCCTCTGGAGCCTCGCCTGGGAGTCTGTGAGTGAACCCATCCTCTAGGCAGTCCTGCCTCTGCCAGGCACTGAAATCCACTGGAGTTGATTTCAACAAGTTGGGGGCGATTTCCTTAGACGGGAGTAAAACTCAAAGGAGCTAGCTGTGTCTCCTCTTGGGAGACTCGAGTAAAGAGGTGTTCTCTGGCTGAGCCCTCAGAGAGGCCCCGGTTTCTCCTTGGCTCGGTCCAGCCCCATTTCAAATTGCTGAGACTCTGTTTCCACTGGACGCCCACCTGCAGGGCCAGGATCAGGGCTGTGGCCCTGGGCTGCAGGAAACACCCCGGTTCCGGGTCCCCAGGGGCCCACCGAGGCCTCGGGGCAGGGGCCCCCCCGCCCTGTCATGGGCCGCGAGGCAGGGGCCCCTCCGCCCTGTCACGGACCGCAAGGCAGGGGGTGCACTGTGTCCTGCAGCAACGGCCTCCGCCTCACTGCCCCCTCCTGCCCCTCTGAGAGTCCTGAGCACTGGCTCGGGGGGTGGCTCCCCTGACCCCCGTGTCAGGGAGAGACTGACCAATGCTTGGGGAGACACGGGGCTGGCCTGCCATCCTCACCGGGTCTCAAGTCTCTGATACCTGGGCCCAGATCAGGTCAGGATCCCATGTCCACGATCCGGCTGCGCCCAGGCCGTGCTTCCTCAGGGGGCAAAGCCTAGCCCAACCCACTAGGGGCGCCACGAGGACCGTCACGGCCAGAAAAACGCCCCCAAGGAGCCACGTGGGTCAGAGCCGCACGCTCAGCCACGGACAGCTGCGAGACCTTTCCTCCTCTGAACGTCCACCGAGAAACGTGCATGGACAGGAAGCCAGTTTTTTTTTTTCTTTGTTTGGGAGAAAACCACACGTGACTGGAGAACTGACTGAATTCCGGCCACAACAATGCTCACTGCATCCAAACCTCGTCACAACAGTGGGAGAAGCCCCTTTGCCCCGGACGCAAGCTGTGAGCGTATGCTCAGGGCCAGGGAGTCTTTCCGGGGCTCACGGAACAGGAGGTCCGCTTACCTTGAAAAGCGTTGCCGAGTCTGGATTGGCGACGACCAGCGGGGAGATGAGGACCATGCCGGAGAAGTGGCCCGGCCTCTCTGCGGCCGTGAGGATGGAGATCGCGCCACCCTGTGGGAAGAGGGGGCATGTGGTGGGCGTGGGCACCGTCATGGATCCCCCAGGCCCAGAGCCCCTACCTTGGAATAGGCGCCCTCAAATGCTGGGTTAACTGGACCCATGATTACTCTATTACACGTGTTTCCCCAGGGTTTTCCAAGCACAAATGTTTCAGGGGATGTAAATAAGCTAACTGCTTGAGGGCTTTAGGTGCCACAATGACACATTTCTATTTCATTTCAAGTCAAAAGCTGGCAGACCCCCAACTCATTCAGTCCGTCAGGCTTAATATTAGATTTAAAAAAAAAATCTGAGGATAATAAGAGATTGTTACACTTTTTTTTTTTTCCTGGTTCAGTTAAAGGGCCCAGGAATCGAGGTTCCAAGAAAAATACTTAGTGGACATGGGAGGGTGCTGAAGGTGGGTGGCCTTGGCTATTGACTGGAGGGGATCTGAACCAGGGGGTGAACTCCACATGCTCACGAGGGCTAGGCCGGGCGGTGGCCGGGCGGGGAGCGGGGGGAAGGGCCCCAGGGTGCAGAGCCCAGCAGCTCAAAGTCCTCTGCCGGCCCGCGTGGCTGGGCGCCTAAGGGCAGGTCTGGGCTGAGTGCTGCCAGTTTGAGGAGACTCGATTTAAAGATCACAGATGATTTAAAGATTTTGAGAGGAGTCTGTGTATTTAAAAGGCAAAAACGATTTAGGAATGACCTTTAAGGACTGCGTGCCTGGGGACCCTTGTCCTACTGGGAACCGCGTGACTCTGAAACCGGCAGGAAGCACTGTGCTTCCCTGATGGCGAACTGATGGGCCCCACCCCAAAAAGGGGGAGCAGAGGTGACCCTGGGCCCTGACGGGAAGGAACGGGTGGGGCAGCCCTCCTCTGGGGCCGCCTCCGGGACGCCGACCCCAACTTGTTTCCTGAGCACAACTTCCCGGGAGCCCCATGCGCAGCGTGTGCAGAGGGCGACCCCCTCCATCCCCACCCGGGGGGACGCTGGGGACGGCTGGACCCAGGGGCCGCTCCGTGGTCTACTCACCATGGAGTGGCCCAGAAGGAAGACGGGCAGCCCCGGATGGTCCTTCTGCATGGCGTCCACGTGCTGTAGCACGTCCCTGACGAAGACGTGGAAGTCGGACACCACCATCCTCTCACCCTCGCTCTGCCCGTGGCCAACTGGAGGGAAGCGGGGCACAGAGCCGGTCAGCAGCGGCAGCATCCCCCGCCAAGCCCAGCGGCCTCCTCAAGGCACGACCACCGCTCTCCAGGGAGGACCCCCCGACCCTCCAAGCGCGCTCTCGGGTGTGCAAATTCTCCACCGCTCCCAGACCCGTTTTATAGACTATGACGTGGAGGCACAAGCAGGCTAAGGAATGTGCCCAAATCACACGGCCAGGAAGTGACTCTTCACGCAGCCAGGAGGCCTTCCCGCGGGCCCCTTCTCAGGAAGAAAGCAGGGCAGACACACGGCGTCCGGGTCCTACCAGAGCGGGACCCGGGAGGCCTGGGCGCCCCCAGCTCCTCGAGCCTCAGGCCGTGTGTCGGAGCGCCAGTGTGTTAGAGGGTGAAGGCCGCGTCGCGTCCCCTCCCTGCCACCTTCTGGGGATGAGGAGGGGACAGACGTGCACCAGCCTAGGGGCGCCAGAAACCACGAGGCGGCAGCAGAACCAGGCCGCGCTGCCTCCGTCCTGGGCGTTACCCTCCGCCCGGACCCGAGCTGTTCCTTTCCCCGAGTCCTTTCGGAGGGTCCCCCCAGCGCTCCCCTCTCTGAGGGATGCTGGTCGCCATGGAAACTGGGTGATGTGAGCGTCTGCAAAGTGCAGAAGAGAAGGCACAAGGATGCACGTTGAGCACGCTGCCCGAAGCCCCTCGGCCGCCTCTGCCTGGAGGGGCTGTGACCGAGCCCCCCAGCCATGGACAGAAAAGGGCGGCTTGCAGTGGCTGGAAGCTGGGCCGCCCAGACCCTGATTCGGAAGCCCTCCGTTGAGGCCAGACCACAGCCCCTGTTCTCTGCTCTGTCCCTCACGTGTGTCTGCCCACCGCTGCCCAGCCCACCCGCCTTTGACGCCTCTGACCATGCAGTCCGGAGACCCCCTCCCATCACCTTCTCAGCAGCAGGCCCAGCCCCTCAAGCTCGCTTTTCCTTCTAAGCGCGCCATCGTCACGGCACTGTGGCACATATTCACGAACACATTCCGCACTGCTGTGCGGCCGTCACCGCGTCCCCCCAAAACCCTTCCGTCACCCCCAAACTGGAACCACGTGCCGCCTGCCATGGGCTGGACCCCACCCCCAATTCACACGGTGACACCCCACACCCACAGCGCAGGAAGGGGCTAGATTTGCAGACATGGTCTTTCAAGAGGTGATTAAGTTGCCCCCAACCAGCAGCAACCCACTCCAGTATCCTTGCCTGGAAAATCCCATGGACCGAGGAGCCTGGTGGGCTGCAGCCCATGGGGTCACGGAGTCGGGCACGACTGAGCTAACAGCACCCTGTCCGCCTGGTGTCCGTGTAAGAAGAGAGTAAGACACGGCCGTGCAGGGGGACAGCGAGAGGGGAGGCAGGGAGGAGACAGCTGTCTGCACGCCTGGGAGACCGGCCTTGGGAGGAACCAGCTGGGTTGACAGCTTCATCTCAGATTCCCAGCCTCCAGAACGTTCAGGAAATAAATTCCTACCCTTAGTGTCGCTCAGTCTACAGTAGTTTGCTATCCAAGCCGCCCAACGTACCCGCCAAACAATAATCCCCAGCCCACTCCCCGCACCTGAGAATATAGTTCAGTAACGATGCGGACAGAGCATCACGTTTAAAGTCCAGAGTATTGTGTGCCTGTGTCACTAATCAATACACGATTAGATTAATTTCAAAATAAATTTGTTGTTTACAACTATAAATTTTGCTGTTTCATCTTCCAGTTTAATTCTCTTCTCTGATATTATGTAAATAAACATTTACCTGGTACAAGAGTTAGAAAAATAAAAACAGATCCATTCAGTGATGTCTCACTTCTGCTCCTGTTCCCCACGGCTGATCATCTTATATTGCCTGTCTTCCCTCCAAAGCATTTCTTTTCGCAAAAGTAAGAAAATATCTATCTATCTATCCATATTTCCCCCCTTTTTTCCTTTTACATAAAAGGTAGCATGCTACAGATCCAGCCTATTCTACGCCAGGTTTTCTCAGTTTTAACAGAGTCTGGAGATGACGTCGGACGGCACGCAGACGGAGCGCTCCTCGTCTGTCTGAGGGCTCCTCGTGTGGGTGAACCACGGTTCATTCCAGCCATCTCTCACCAAAACCGTGTGTGTGACATCCGATCCCTGTTCACCAAACTGCTGACCGAACCGCATCACCGGGCCGGGGATGATGCTTCTACCTTCAAGAACGCGCGTCTCCGGGGTACACGTCTGGGGCAGGTATGCTTGGCTGAAAGGTGCCGTTTCGGCGGGTTGACATCATCCACTCGTCCACGGGGGGCGTGCGGGGTTGAATCTACCAGCCTCCCAGCAAAGCACATCACTCTGTGTTTGGATTCTTGCCCGTAAGACGGAGGAGAACGTGCCAGTCAAACATCTCATATTTTAAGGGGGACTTGTGTTTCTTTCTCGGTAAACTGAGAATTCCTGCCTCTGCTGTTTGTCTTTTTCTATCGAGGTTTCACGTTTCTTGATATTTAGGAGCTCTGTGTACACGAGGTGGTCATCTGTCCTTCAACATGACATCGCGTTTCGCTATGGAAGATTTTTGAGAAAATCGTCCATCTTTTCTTTTTATGGCTTCTGAATTTTGATTCTCGGCTATAAAGGCCTTCTCTGCTCCTGGGGTATCAGGAGCTCAGCACTTTCTCTGGCTCCGTTCCTTGGCGGGGGTAACAAACACACAGCCTAAGGTTCGCAGCAGCCCCCTGTGAGCGCGCCGCTCAGGGCCGGCAGGCGCATTCGCAGAGCCGGGCAGCTGGCCACCGTCGTCCCCGGACCCAGCTTCGCTCTCCACGCACGCGTCCTGACCCAGCCGCAGCTTGTCGGGGTACGTGGTGTGAGACCCGGCTCCCTGGCCTGGGGCTTCTCTCCTTCTTAAAACCGAGGTGACGCTCACACCACCGACCAGCGGCCACTGTCAAGTGACCCAACTCGGGGGCATTTCACACATTCCCAGTGCCGTCCAACCGCCTTAATCAGGTTCCAAACTGCAGACGTCCATTGACTGTCTTAGCAGCTTTCAGGAAGCCGCCCGTCACCCCGGCACGGAGTGGTGGCGTCATTCACAGGAAGCTTCCTTTCCCGTGTGCGTCTGGCCCGTCTCTGGGTTTCTGCGCCGTCCTGCTGGTCGGCCTACGCACAGGCCAGCCCCGCGCTGAAGCATGGCGGCGTGCGCCCACCCCGCCCGGCTTCTCGGGCCGGGAGGGAGCTGCGAGACCCACGTGCAGTCCTGGCGCTCCCGGAATCTGTCCCCGCCACACAGCCTCGAGTTGCCCCCGCGCACGCCACACATGCCAGGTCTCTGTCTCAGGTGCGCTGATTAGGGGTCCCCCCTCCCCCAGCACCGCTCCTTCCCCGTGACCCGAGGACACCGCGAGCTGGGGGACACGGCTCTGCTGGGGGGCTGTGCTGGGAGCCAATGGCATTGTCCACCTGGGACCTTGGCAGGAGGCTGGGCACGCACGTGCCTGCAAGCCAGGCCGCCTCCAGACCCAGGACCTCCTTTCCTTGGTCTGCACTCTCCTCCGGCTCCTCGTGACGGCCTGGCCAGGGGCAGCTGCCAGCTTTACACCTGCCGAAATGAACTGCGGCCTCTCGTCCCACGACGGCCACCCACCACTGTGGCAAGTTCATCTGATGAGGCGTTTACCTTCCTACCACAGGGATGGAGCGGCAGGGCTGTGTTTGCAATTAACACTCCCTTCCTCATATGTTCTAAGAGAAAGAACCTCACCACAGGCCTTGGTCCAGCATATTTTTGGCTTTGTTTACCCTGATTCTGCTATGTTCTACGATTTGTTAAATCCTCTGTATTTTGACGCCTTACCATCTGGTTGAAGCTGACCCTGGAAGGACGGCTCCTCCCAAGGTTAGCAAATTTCTGGACACGGGAAAGAACTGACTCGTGAGCTGGCCTGTCACACGCAAACCAACCAGCCCAGAGCCCACCTCCCCGGGCCACTCACGGTCCTGTCACCCAGGCCCACGGACCAGACCACCAGGGGCAGCCCCAGACCCCTCAGCCCACTGACTGTACCCAAACCAGCCCATCCTCACCCTGCTCACCCCACCTCACCGCTCCTTCTCGAAGAAACTGCAACAAAGCCTCCCGTCCACTCCCCCCTGCCTGCCCCTGCCGGCGGTCCAGCCCCGGTGCCTCGCTGAGTGGCCCCGAGTGGTCCTGCTCCTGGTTCTGGGGATCTTTGAGTATAATAAACTCTGCCTCCTGGAGGTCATTTCCGTGCGTCTCCTGATCAAAACCTGATCAGATTTTGACTCCACAAAACCTGATTCCAGCCCCCGTCCCCGGAGAGCACAGTAGCACTGTACCCCATGTGCGGTGAGCACTTGAGCCTTCGGGGAATGTTTCAGTAATCCCTGTCTCTGTCTCATGCAGAACACTTCTCCCTCCAAGTGATCTGGTGGCACCACGTGCTAAAGACCGAGGACCCGTCCAGAAAGGCGGGGCTCTCGCTAGCCCTGGGACCGGAGGAAACGAGCGTCCGACTCCCCTCTTCTCAGGGAGCTCTTCTTCTCCTACAGACAGAAGAGCTGGGGAAACGCACCCTTGAGTAAGCAGAGAGACAAAGCATAAAAACCAGTCATGACAAGGCCCGGTGCGGACGCGGTGGGCTGGAATCCGCACAACCCTGTTCCCAGGGTTCATTTCACATGATCCTCACCACTCTGCGAATTACCCATGAATTCTCCCCCATTTTCTGGCTGAGAAAACTGACCCGCAGACAGACTGGTGGGAGCTCACCCCCCGATGAGTTAGAGGCTGGCCACAGTCTTGAGCTCTGGGTTCAGACCCCAAATCTCACGCTTCTGCTGTCCTCGGGCAGGGCTGACCCGGGGACACACAGTCCCAGAGGCCGCCTGCCACATGGCAGGGACCGGTTTGGTGCCTCTGGGTCCTCCCTTCTGCCCCCAAATCGATCTCAGACATTCCTATCATTACCATCAGGGCGAGA